ATATAATGAGAACCTGTAATATTGTAAATCAATATTATTTTCCTTCTAATTCTTTTCTGCTCCGTTGTCAATGCTTCATTCTCGCAGTTATCTGCGCTATGGTTTACTGGCGGCTCGAGCAGAGATTTTGAAGGTTGATGAAGAACATGGCAATCCATGTATATTAGGGGGTTATGAAGGTGTGTGCAAGTTTGGTTTGTTTAGTGCTGCATTATTTCGCAATATCCCTCTCCCCTTCTCCCTTCTTGATTTTCCTTTGAATTTGCATTTCCAGTGAAATTCTGTTCTCCTGATAAGTGATGGATGAAAATACTTCAGTAAGCCTATAGATAAGGGAATCATACTCGTGTTTGAGTTGAGGGAAAAATACCATGCACCCAATGTGGTTCATGGTTATATTAAAAATTGGGAGGGGAGAGTACTATGCACCCAGCATTAATCATGGCCTTGTTAAAAGTGGTTGAACCCATAGCTGGGTTTTGTTTAATTTATGTTGTTTATATATTTTTCCTCTAATAATTTGCATCAACTTTTCTGGTCTGATTTACTTGACATCATCTGTTGCAATGCTATTTACTGAACACCTATACTCAAGCCAAAATCTTTCTTGGACTCTAAAGTAAATCATACATAAAATACGAGTAATAAATATGAAGGTGACAAAATGAGAGTATCAACTGACAGAAAATAAATTTCACGGATCATGATTTTGTTGTTAATATCTTTATTCATTCTCCATATCTGTTATTTGGTACCCATGTATTCATCATACTTTAGCGTTAGTGCAGACAGCGACTGGGTTCACACCATAGATCTTCTTGACCTTTTTCTTTTATTATCTTACCATACAAATATGAATCTGTGTGGTAATTACAGTTTGAGGTTTATTTATGCAATTGTTCTCAGAAAAGAATTATAAACCGAGAGGTATAAGCCATGTAACATAGCATATGGAAAAAAAAACAATCATATATATCAGCATTCTATTGCTATGGAAATCCTGACATATATATTTTATATAGATACGTACAAATATGGTCAATCTGTATACAAGGCATCGGCCTCACCATCAGGCTCCAGCCTTAGTAAGTGTCGAGAAACAGTAATCAAGGCTTTGAAAGTCAATGAATCATCATGTACCCACATGAAATGCACATTTGGAGGGGTGTGGAATGGTGGTGGAGGGGATGGCCAAAAGAATTTGTTTGTTGCTTCATTCTTTTTCGATAGAGCTGCTGAGGTACATTTCATTTTTTCTTTTTTTCATAATAATAAAATTCTTGAAACATTTTAGTCCAGCACCTCTTATTGGTGGCAACATTTATCATTGTAATATATATGAACAATAGGCTGGCTTTATTGATCCAAGCTTGGCCGTTGCAAAAGTTCATCCGGCCGATTTTGAGGATGCGGCTAAACGTGCTTGTGAAACTCATCTGGAAGATGCCAAGTCTATATATCCTAAAGTGGAATCTGGTAACCTGCCTTACTTGTGCATGGACCTCGTCTACCAATTCACGTTGCTTGTTGATGGCTTTGGTGAGTAGATCTGATTCATTCAGTTCCAGTGCAGATTGTTTTAGAAATAGTTCTTAACGAAAACCAGCAACTATATTATAATGTTCGTTTCGCAGGGCTTGATCCGTGGCAAGAGATTACTTTAGTGAAAAAAGTTAAATACCAAAATTCTTTAGTCGAAGCTGCTTGGCCGTTGGGCAGTGCCATTGAGGCTGTGTCATCACCTGCACGCTAAATCTTATTTATTGTGGTTAGCACTCACTTTTGATTGATTGTGAATGCAGCTTGGAATAGGACTTGGTTATATCGTGTTGT